ACTGGCGCAACGGCAAGTCTCTAATCTTACGACGCTAAAATTCGGATTTCGATACCCGTGGCGGGTAGAGCACAAATAGCCTATTGTTTATCTTTGTGTTTAACGACAACCAAATAAAAAATGTCAGTGACAATTTTTAAGCATCCTAGGATTGTTTTTATAATCGCTCTGTGTTTATGTAAATGTGTTTACGAGGTTTTATTATTCAGTGGACTAACACTTTAATGACGGTATGACAGATTTCTTTTCAACAAAGGCAGACTTGAAAATATAATTTATCACGTAAGGGCCTAATATGTAGAGATGTGTATTCCTTCACAGTTTGAGTAACAATGTTAAACTTTAGGTACTTTGTTCATTTCGTAATCCACGGATCTCTTTCTTAGCGTAACATGTTACACTACACTGAGTATTATTCTTCATATCCTTTATTCCTTCATTGATTTATTTCCTTTTTTTTTACAGAAAGTTGGACAGACGCTAATGGACCACAGACGAGAAGAAAGTACTCATTCAGTGTTAGACATATTTAGATACCCACAACTTCGGAAAAAATTGATGATCATCACCTTAATGTGGTAAACATTTTTGGTATTGTATGATGTTTCACAGATAGGTCAATAGATGGATGGTTGGATGACTATGTATAAACTAATAATACTTCGGACAATATATTATTTTATCTGGCGAATTAAAGGCTTCTATCAACACTGACATCTGTACTCAGTATTGAACCCCAAAAATGTTCAAACCATTAACCCTAATAGTTAGGTCACACTGACTACAGATATTACTTTTAAGACCCCACTGTGAGACATCAAAGAGCAATGTACATTAGTTTTCCCCCCCTTTCTGTTCGTCTCAACTTTATGGACAGAATACCGCTAAGATTGGATGGATGGTTTTTAACCAACGCATACAACACGTACTACATGCAAAGTTCTAGGTATGACCCAATATTTGAAGGTCAAAGATCAAGGTCAAAAGATCACTGGTAAATAATCCGCTCCAATATTGTGGACAGGGTACCTCTCGATTGGATGGACGGATTTTAATCAAACACATACAAAAGGTACTACATGCAAAGTTCTAGGTATGACCTAATGTTTGAAAGTCAAAGATTAAGGTCAAAAGGTCACTGGTAAATCATCAGCTCCAATCTTGTGGACAGGTACTATATCAGAGTTAGGGGACTTAAACATATATCAAAATTAATGAGAACACAAGTATTCCATAGATACATTTTACACCCCATTTTCCTCTTAAATCAGTATATTTCATATTCCACATAAAATATTTATCTCTTTCTGTCACCAGGAGGCAGTTCGTTTGATACTAGAATTCGTCAGATAGGCAGGACCTACTGAAAGAACTTTATATTAATTCATTCAGGCCATGATTTCTAGAATGAAATAGTGATTTTTAGAATTGATATAAAGCAGCACTCTTCCAAAAATCTAAACTTCTAAAACGGGCTTTTTTTTACCATACAATCTATATATAGAGAGCAGGCGATCAAGAATGTAAATGAACGTCTTCCGGTTTTATATTTTACAGGACAGCAATTTCGGTCGCTTACTTCGGCCTGATACTCAACATATCCAACCTTGGTGGGAATGACTTTTTGAATTATTTCTGTCTGTCCGTCGTAGAACTTCCTGCATTCTTTATTGGTGGTTACATCATGAATAAATGGGGAAGACGATGGGCTAATACTGGCTTTGTTCTCATAGCGGGCTCATTCTGTTTACTCCCAGTGTTCCTGCCTGCTAGTAAGTAAAGTTATGATGAACTTTTTTACAAACACACCTCGCCCAATGTTGTATTGATCTTTATAATCACATCACAATTACCAAATACATTTCTTCTTAACTGTATTTTCCGGTAAGATTGCACTTCTATCTCCTAAATCCAGTAAATTCCTTTTGTTACAACAAACCTAAATATTCTTCATAATGTTGAATATTTATTCATATGTATTACTAGTTTTTATAATTTTTGTTCTAGTTGTTGATGTTGAAATCTTAGTTATTGTTTTCAAATCCGTAAAGACATTTAATTATGAACAAACCAAATGTTCCCGGGTACAAATGTGAATCGTATTTGGTATTTTAAACGAAAACTTCACTTATCGATCTTTATAATCAACCAAAATTACCAATTCGTCGTCGTTTTTACCGAACGCTAACATTTTATTTTAATTCCCTGTTTAATATTTTAAAGGTATTCAGATATCAGGGCTAGCTACTATGTTGTTACGTAAAATATTGTATATGTACCCTGCGAAGGTCACTTTGTCCGAAACGTTGACCACACCAACTTTTTTCAATGTCTCTATATTTGTTCTGATATAAAGTAGAATTAGAATTTACAAACTGAAATAAACCATTTGCGCTCGTGGGGTTAGAGGTCAGTTCAGAGGTCTCCAGGATTCGGGTATGGTCATCCCTGAGGCTAGAGAGCCAGGTGACAGCATCTGTCGCCATAAGGTCTTTCACTGACCCTTTGAACTGGGCAATGGGATTGACCTTCACTTTCACAACTAGTCTACCTTTTAAAATGTGGAGCATTCTCAGCATTACCTCGTCTCTAACCTCGGACCCTTCGATACGCAGCTTCACAGGCTAACCATAAATCACGCTCTACCCTTTAATAAAGTAAAACAAATAACAAAATATGAGCTAGGTGCATCGTTACAGGTTTTTATTATTTTCTACATATATGTAAATTTCTATTTCTTAGATCTCAAAAGCCCAGCCTTAGCAGCTTCCTTGATTGGAAAATTTTGTTCAGCAGCAGGGTTTATGGTGATCTACCAACAGGCGGCCGAGCTCTACCCAACTGCTGTGAGATCTATTGGAATAGCAATTGGGTCTACAGTCTCTGCTATAGCCATCATCTGCATGCCTTACATAGTTTACTTAGTAAGTCCTTCACTTACTTATTAATAGTTCTGTTATAATAATACTCAATATTTGTCTGTCTTGAAAATGCGCGCGCACCTTACTATAGACTAAATGCGCATGTTCGAGTACTTAATTTCAACGAATGCACACAAAAGACGAATGTAAATATACTGAAGTAGAGATTTTGTACAAAAATATATTAAGTAAAAGCTTAAAGCGTTTTTTATAATGTTTAACGTTATGTCGTAGAATAACATCATCAGTTTATCTATTAATTATATTAAGTACAGTAAAGCTTAGTCCTAATTAAACTAAAGCAAAGAACGTACACAAGTTAAAGTGTTAATTTATCTTTATCGAATATAGGCCGTACTTAATAAAGACCTAAATAAGTTTAGGACTAAGACAAGTGGACTTTAGATTTCAGTGTCTGCGATTAGAATTATTTTTTATTAATCCAGAAATTCAGTATTTAAAGAAGAGTTGTTGCAGTGAAGATACTAATTTGACCTCAAATGTTTTGCGGGTCTCTGCTGGTAATATATTAATATTCAGTCTGCTAATAACCAGAGTAATTACAGAAATGCTGGTGGTCTAAGAAGAGTTTTGCTTAAAAGTTCTTAGCTAAAAGTAAAAATAAAGTACAAAATCAACAAAAACAAATAAAGCCCGTTTGTTATATCACACACCCACACAATAGACTATATAATTGTTTGTGTTTAATGGTTTTTTTCTGTCATACAGGGTACTTACAACAAATACATACCATTTCTGTTCATCGGTGGAATGTGTTTAATAGCAGGACTGGTGGCTCCCCTGGTGCCAGAAACATTAAACGAAAGTTTACCTCAAACAATTGAGGATTCAGAAGCGTTCGGATTAAAACAGAAAATGTTTTCTTTACCCAGGTAATTACAAGTAATTAGTATACAAATTATTATTTTTAAAATTCAAAATATAATAGCGATTATTTTTAATTAAGTGTTTTTAGCACGTCTACTATATTTTTTACTACCTGTTGAGATCGATAAACGTTTTAAAATAAGACCTTACTTGTACCGTGTTATAAATTTGGGTTCTGATTATTTCTCTTTAACAAAACATGTT